CGTTGCGCCCACTGCAGCCTGAGTCGCCAATGAAGGGGTCTGTTGCAAAGGGGCTGAGGTTCAAGTGATGATTTCATATGTTGCTAATGCACGTCTTGCAGTCGATCTCGCCGTGGCCACCAAAAAGACCCTTCTCCGCATGGAAGCAGGCTGGGAGGTCCTCGTCCTTTTGGTCGCTCTTCAGCGTCCAGAGGTGCTTGAGAACTGTCGCCCTCTCAAGACGCGATCTACCTTTCTTCGTAATTAACATCGGTGGGTGCCCCGCCCCTTCCACCATTTCCCACTTCTAATTCTACGTAGAGTTGGATGACAATGGAATCGAGCTCGCGTGATGATACCCCACTTCCTTCGCTGTCGGCCTGCTCGTTTACGAATATTCTTTAGCAATTCGTACGCTTGTTCTATCGGTATGATGCAATTTATTTACATTTATCTCTCACATTCGGAATCAGAGGAAAGCCTGCTTGATCAATCTTCAACGTGCGTGACATCCATCATCTTCACTTGAATTATCATCTTCTCCCCCTCGCTATGATCAGCTAATCTTTCTCGTGGAAGCCTGAATATTCTTTCTGTGCGCTGGACCACACAATGCTTGTTCAGCTGTTTCCAACTGTGATCAGGCAAGGTTGCATAAATTCTGAACATGCCTCTTGCGCCCTTCTGATTGTTAATAGATCGCGCATAAGTCTTTTTCATCCTGCGGAGTCCAATCTTTCTTGCGCGAGTCTGAATCTCTCTCAACACTCATTCCAGCTTCCCTCAATTTACTGGGCATTCATCTCGTGTTCAGCTGTTTTTCCTCTCTGTTTATCAGGCAAGTTTTTGTCAGTTGAACATTCCTTCTTACGCGCTGAATCTCATAAGACTTGTTTAGCGTGATCAGGCAGATCTTTCTTGCGCGAGTGGTCTGAACTTTCTTACGAGCTGAATCTCTCACCCTCAACACTCATTCAGTTTCCCCTCGCTTTAACCAGGCGATCATCTTGTGTTCAGCTGTTCCCACTATCATCAGGCAAGTTTTTGTCAATCTGAACATTTCTTCTTACGCGCTGAAAGATCACAACTTAGATGGCGCATAGTCTTTTTCATCCAGCATCGGTTTTCCCGAAAGAGAGAAGGAGACCGACTGTGTGGGTAAGCTTCCATTACATGCTCCATAACCCATTCTCTTACAGGCCGAAGCACCAGCGGACGACGTTTTCGAGAGCGTCAAGCTTCCATCCTCTGTCAAGACTAACATTTCACGCGATAACGAGTCGTGGACTTGACCGCTTTGTGCGGCTGCGCTCGATCGTCGTGGCACAAAGTGCGAGGGTGGATGCTTGCATGTCGCCAGGAGTGTAAGCTCGACGAGATGTTGGGATGAGTCTGTTTTTGAATATAACAATGTAACACTCTTCAATATTTATTTAACAGCCATAAGTTTCAAATCTCAAATCGGCATAGAAGACGCACTTCATATCCCATCCCACCCACTCTAATCATGGTTTATACCCCCTGCTGTATCATGAACTCTTGTCTTTTACATTTACAGGTGTACCCGCGCAGTAGCCAAGAAGGGCGAGCTCAGCATCTCCCCCTCGTCCATGGTTCTCCTTGCACCCAATTTGCACCAACTCCCATCCGCCCACTTCGGTCTTAAGGACCAGGATACCCGGTTAACCGCAAGCGTTACCTTCGATCTCATCATGTCCTTGTACCGCGCAATATCTTCCTATATAATTACGACACCTTTTGTATTTCCCTGGCTTCTCGTTGACCGCGTGGTAGAAACGATGCCGACCTACTCCCCTTGATTCCTCTCATGTCTCTCTAGAACAGATACATGCGTGTTAATGTTTTAATGTTTTTAACCGATGCAATTTTGACGCTTGTTCAGCTGTTTCCCACTGTGATCAGGCAAGTTTTGCATAAATTCTGAACATGCCTCTTCCGCCCTTCTGATTTTGAATAGAATCGCGAATGTTTGGATGTGCTTGTACCGCGTGCAAAATGCTCGTCAAAGTGCTTTCCCAACACAACTCCCGCACACTATCTTGTACATCCACGCCTTATGATCTTTACCCTCTTCTTCTGCGTCGACGTCTGTCACTGGACGTGGAGGTAAGCAATAACGATTCGTGATCGTATCTTCAGTGTCTTACAACCGCACAGAAGACATATACGGAAACGACATAAAGAGATACTCGCACGATCGACTACATAATCTGAATAATTGGATTGACGGTGGCACGCAGAAGACTGCAAGAAGATACGTGGTTCCTGGTCGTTGAACCCCTTGCAAAGCATGACGGCGATTACTATGAATACTATTGTGCGAACACAGAGCAGCACATAGTTGCTTGGTTTGATGCTTTCGACGCAAGTTGCTTTTTCAGGAGTGTGCATCCGCACGGGAGTGGAACCATAAACGTAGGTTCCAATGTCCTATCAACGCACGCTACGACTCAAATGCATAGGTCTGAGCTCGAAGCACAATTTGGTAATAATCGGTCGATGGAATAATAAAATACTACGATTGACACCTGCATATAAATCAGGAAGCATGTCGATTTTTTTCCGCGTCCATTACAAAATAACGCCTTCTGATGCGAAGGATCTACGAGTTTCACTTGGAATGGTTTTAGCAGGTAAGACATCTTCGTGCAGATACCACAGAACTGATTTGAACATGTATTACAGAAGGACTCACCTTGGAACAATCAACTGCAGCTTCGTTGTTTCGGAACAACACCAAAGTGGAGAAAATAATATCTTGTATCATTAGATTCGGTTCGTCACACGAAAAATGATAGCGCTTGATTTTACTGACCGGAATCATTCAGAAGAGTCATCTTTCGTCCAACAAATTCATGACTGAGCAAGGAGTAGCATTTTGCGGTACGTCTGCTTCGCCCCACTTGTACGACGAGATAATTGAAACCCGCCGTCAATAGGAAGGATATGGAGCATCTTACGTAAGGTTTCCTCGGCCGATGCAGCTCAAGTTTTGCAATAACTTATAGGATAAGGCCATCATCAATTCTTAAACTACTACGGTTTACCGGAAGCTCGTTTTGATGCGGACTCATTCGGTGGAAGGATTGAAGCGAAAGCGAACCCTTCCCCTCTTACTGGCGACAGCTGCAATGTTCGGGGTGCCAGCACTTGTTTTGGAACATATAGAAAATATCCATGTCGACGGCATCGTCAAACTCACTCAATATCAGGCAGTTCGTTGACTGTTTCAATGACGAGAATTTGAAAACATAGCACTTTGGTACGCGCATCTCCCTATATTGAAATTGGAAAGCTAATCAAGTCTACGTCTTCCATTATCAAGGCTGGTGTTATCATGGCCGTAGACGCTGGCATACTTGCCATTCCAGATTTTGGATCTCAAGTGATAACAAGGACATTGTGTTCTCTTTCACTCATTTTCAGTGTCCACTGTATATTGGCAGGTGTCACTGCTCAACACTTCGGTGAAATGATGAAGTCTCTGGAATTTGCAGTATGTGTAATCTAGCACAGTTATCTCTCTATGCTAATTCGATACTACATGTAGTCTCAGCATCTCAATGACAAGCGCACTAGAGTTGCGGTCATTTACAGCGCTCCCAGTCTATTACGGACAACCAGGTAATCAACTTGTCATAAGGCGTACAGATGACGTTAATCGTAAGCTGACAGCGTGGCTTTATCTACTCTAGGCTTTCTTGCAGGAATCTACACATCCCCCAGGTCATTCGTCAATGACGATAATTCCATGCACGATCGTCGTTGCCATCCTAGGAGGTTTCTTGTTCTGGTCATCAGCTATCACATTCCAACAGCATTTGAAACTCGAGAAATTATATTAAACAAGTGTCGTTGTAACATAACACTGTGGGTAGTACACTCGTGAAATCCAGTGAATTAAATCACTATATTCCCGTAGCGGATGCCTACCTGAATTAAGTATGTTGCCTCACTCAAATCTAGTCACTTCTATATCGCTGAAAGGACCAACTTGACATACGAAATTTTCCGTGGAGTCTTCATTCATTTTTACTTGAATGTATCACGGAACATACAGCGACAACATCACTGCAAAAGGACTGATGCAATCACTGGAATTGTACGATTATTGATGCTGATGATGAGTGAGGTAATACAGTACAGGTAACAGGAGTACAGGTAACAGGCGAATGTAACGAGACATCTAGTGCATAATCAGGGAGACACGAAGCAGGACAACATTTGTGATCAATCGAGAAGCGGCATGCATGAAGAATAATGATAGAGACAATCTTGAATGAGTTGGCGGCGGCAATTTGAGCAACATGGTTGAACAACAAGCTATTGGTGTCGAAGAAATGGTGAGCAGAGATGAGGACCTGGTGTGTAGTGGTAGCGAATCCAGTGAGCTGAGACAGAACCTAGCAAGCAGGGACAGGTGAAGAACGGCCGGAAATGTGGTGAAGAGAGACGGATGAAGAACTTGGTTCAAGGAGATGGTAGGCACACACCAAAAGCTCATTTGCGCGACTGTGAAAAGATAAATTGTTAGTGAGATGGGATGCCTAGAGAAAACTCACCCTTCCGCGTCTGGTTGGTCGTGACCGTGAAGATTTAGGCCGCGGTACTGGAGTACTAGCATGAATGCTCTCGGGCTATGTGAAGCAGTAAGGTGAAAGTTGACAGGCAGAAAGTTCAAAAACGCACTGGTTCAGACAGCTCCGATTCACCATCGTCGTGATATGCTGCATCATCATATGATCCAGAAAACTTAGAGGGACCCGCTGTTGGTTGCTAGTGCGTGACGACGTAAATGTGAGCTAAAATAAACAAAGGGTTGTCAGTCTAAGGGCCAAAAATGACGTACCGCTTTTTGCGCGCACTGCTGGGCCAATGATCTGAGCAGATTTTTTTTTGGAGGCCGTGGGCGCCTCTCCTCATCGATGTCTGAATCCACTAACATCAGACTCATCAATCTGTGCGCATATATGCGGTCAACCTTGAGCATTCAATTGACTAAGTAGCTCACCTCAGAGTCGTCCAAGTTTGGGTGCTGCTTCTTAGTGTACTGTACACGATTTCGAAGATAACAACCCATAAAGTCGTGAAACGGCCAATTGTCACGGAACTTTGCGAGATATTGGTGTTTGTGTTGTGCCCGCGCATAGTTGCAGTAGCATATATTCACTGAAAAAACATGAAACACTTACATAGGCTAAGAGGAATATCACCGTAAGTTTGTCTTGTTGTTTCAGAGTCCGTGAAGTATCGAGGTATCGATTCGTATATTTCCGTGCCATCATCTTATCAAAATGTGAATTATTAAAAGTGCCATCAGTCAACAACAGTACTCACTCTTAACGCGTTGTATTTCCAGTCATTTCCAGCCAATCCCATGGCCTGTTGGAGACTATATCCTCCTTTGAGTTCTGATCAGCCTGCTTGACCCTTAGGCTTGTCGATCTGCTTCTTCACATGCGCTGTGGGGCTGAGCCTTCTGCGATGATCATTTCCTGACATGTGTGTTACTTCTATTCCTTCTGATAAACCGAAATCTGACTCACATTGCAAATGCCGAAGCTCGGTTTCCAGTTGCCTGAGATTCCTTGCAGCCCTGTCTGCCTTTCCAACTGTTTTGCCCTTGTTGTGGGGCATCGTTGATGGTGGTGGTGGAGAGGTGCACAGGTTAGTTGTTTGATTTGTTGGTCTCCTTTGTTGATGTGTTGTTTGTCACGTGCACGTGACAACTTTCTCGTGTGAGCCTAGTCTCTCACTTCTGATTTTCAATAGATGGCGCAATGTGTTCCAGTAACCATCCCTCCATTTATCTACATATGTACATGCTGATGTTTTCCAGCAAGAGCGCTACATCATTTGTCCTCAATTTGTTCCCTGCCCTTATTGCTCGGGATGTTCTTGGTCGTCGAGGTCTCCACCTGCTTCTATCGCTAGCTCCATGAGCTTGTCCACTAATTCACTGAGTATGTCGATGTCATTCTTCGTGTGTCCTTCCTTTCGGCGTTCCATATTTAAGTATTCGTTGATGGCACGTCGGGAAAAGTCATCAGCAACTTTAGCCATCGGAGGCGGAGTCATATACTGATGGATGTGGTCGACTGACCATGTTACCGCTCTGTCCTGAAGGTACAGCTCAGTTATTTGCTGCTAACAAAACCATTGATGTTGACTTACGATGAACCCTCCTTTATAGTTCACTGCGAGGAAAATGCTTGTAGACAGAAGAACGAGCACTTGGGTCAGGATCATCAACATGTGCCATAGCCACCAATAATCCTTGGAGGGTGTCTTGGACGCCTTTCGAGGCGCATAATCATATGTCCATAGCTTGATTGTGGTATTTCCCCGGCCCTGCGCTGGCGAAACGCTGGCGATCGTGCAGCGGCCATTGAGATTGTGGGTCTGGAAAATCCCAGTCTTCAGTGACTTCCTTTGTCGCCATTTATCACCACTTACTGCTATTGTCTGCACTAGGCCGCCATTTGCGTGACGGAGAGTCTCCAGTAGCTCTCCTGCCTTCCTGTCGAATATGTACACCAAACCGTTGTCACTTCCACCCGCAACCACCCTTCCTTCTTCCCCGAAGGCCACTTGCTTGGGGACCAACATACTCGGAACAGCAGTCGTGAATGTCCGAACGGGCTCCTCCCCTCGTCTTCAAGACGATACATTGTAAAGCCATCCGTCGCGTTATCTACGACGAATAAGCCCTTCTTGAGGTTGACTGCAGCATGCCCACTTGAAGGATTAGTCAGTGATCCGCACATCGGGTGCAGCAGTTGGGTGGACCCTTACATGACTGACTGACAGCTAAACTCTCTCACGACAGTACCGTCTTTGCCCTCCAGTTTAATGCTGCTCGACGCTTAGTATGATGCGAAAATGCTGCAATGGAGCCTTACAATTTTCCGTCGTAGAGGCCGAAAACGTAGATGTCGTAGTTGTCTGCAAACGCTACGGACTTTGGTACCGTATTGTCAAGCCAAACTGCGAAGACAGACTGAAGCTGCGAGTTGGCGTTGAGCAGGAGAACTTGGACTATCTTGTCTCTCATTCCGACTGCAATCCGCGTGTTGGCCTCAGAAGAAGTCGAATCCCATGATAAACATGTGATCTCGAAACCTGAACCAAGCCTCCTCGCGCAAATTTCCTGGAATCGTTTCTGTTGAGATGTCAACGGAAGGTTCGACCACGCCCAACTAAGCTTACATCTATGACACTTCGGCGCAAAAACACAACGTAGCCCAGCCCAGTTCCATAACAAAGAGTCTCCGTGGTGGTTGGCCTAGTCAAGGTCCAAGCCGCACAGCTGACAGTTCCTCGTGATTCGTGACGATGAGATGAACAGGCAAGTTCTTTACGAGAATTGATATCCCAAAGTTTGACACCTTCAGTGCCTTGTTATGTGTCAGCATTGTCCCTCCGGAGTGAGATGTATACTTACCACCGCAGGCGAGCACCTGCCCATCATTGGAAATTGCGAGCGCATGGACAGACCTGCTGGGGACAGACAGACGAGTTAGAAGCTTGTAGCGCTGGTTTGACTTTGCCCTGATCCAGAAAGAAGACATGTTGAATGACACGCTGTAGTCGCCCCGCTCACAGCGTATTTATTGGCCATTTCTTTTTCTCATTTGTCTTTTAGCAATTGTAATTCTTGTTCGAGACGTGACGCTCAATGATTGTCTTTTCTCCTTGGTAATTATTGTTCGAGACGGATACATGATTTGACGTCAAATTAATGATTTGATCTGGGCCTCGAGTTAGTCTGTACTGCTCGTCAACGAGTCAATGGTGAAGCGAATAGTCTAAATCTTGTCTGCATTGAAGCTTGAAGATCCGGCATCTCTTGATTTGTCTTTGAAAGGTCTTTTGTGTTGCGTCACCGCCCAGCAATCTTTTTGTAGTTCAACATTCCAAAATGCTAAGGGTAGCCACTGCTTGGATTGGATTGGACCCAATAATTGTTCTCACCCGATATGGCAGTTCAAACCAAGTTCAAACATTCAAATTTCGCTCAGATAATAGATACTTAGTATAATATAATTATTCTCTTACATCTCAATTATCTGTGTACAATGCGCAACAGTTCCACAACAGTTCCCCCCTTCTATGACCAGGAGCAGTCTGGTGCTCCACCACTATTCCCCCCAATGCTCACGGACCAACTTGAGCTGCTCGGCAGCATCCATCGCCCGACTACACTTATTGCCGATGAGATCATCGTTTCTATCGTGAGCCTGAGGACACCGCCCGCACTTGCCCCTGAGTTCAAAATAGCAAAGCGGTCGCGCAAGCCTGATTACTCCTCTCCATACCCAAAGAAGGCCATTCGGGCTCGCTCCCGTTCAATGACGCCTAGTATATGTTCGGATTCACAAAGCTCTTCGAATCATTCTTTCGACAGCGGCTCCTCAACTTCAATCACACCTTTATCAGAAGACTCAAAAATCCCTAAGCCCCTCGGCGAGGCTGGGGGCTCGGGGCGTGGGCGATACATTCTCTATGATGCATTGAATTGGAGTCCAAAGAAATATACAGAATTCAAGGTTTGCAATGTACATGCTTGCTCTCTGTTTCAAAGCTCACAAGGCACTAAGAAATTTATGTATGTTGTTATCAGCAATGACCTCACAACGACACAGTGCGCTTCTGCGCAAAGCCCTGCTCAGTTGGAGGTCGTACGGAACAAGGTAACTATGAAACAGCCTCACTGTGCGGGTCAAGGATCTCATGGTATGTTAGGCTATCGACAGGTTCCCAGACCTTGAAGATTATAGCGATTTATGGCCGGTGAACGATATTATCACGACACGACTGAAATACACGTCGCGTCACGTCACGCGGAACTTGAAGGAGCAGGAGATGACTGCGAGTGTTCGAACGACAGTTTGTTTGACATCTATGTTTTTGGTATCACAGCTAATACTCCTACAGGAGGACTAATGTACGACTGTATCGTTAGCCTTCAATGCTCCCTCTGCTGTCGCACTGCACTGACATACTTGTGGTGGTCGCACTGCACTGACATACTTGTGGTGGTCATAACATTTGAGTAGAATACATATGTAAAGAATGTCCTCCTTCATATGAACGTGAAACTTCGCAAAAGTTTGCTATGTTGTTCTGCGGAGATCTGCACACTTTGCGCGAAACTGCACTGATGGATCGATTGTTCTATCAGTATGGAGTGGGTTGCTTCCTCTTCAATGTAAATCACTCCTCCGCAATTGATCATGAAGCCGATATCTGAAATCACGCCTGTAAAAACAGTGAGTTCTTCAGTGAGGATGCATTAATCATGGAGATCAGAAACGAGATAGTTGTTAAAACGTTAACACGCGTGTATCTGTTCTAGCGAGACATGAGAGGAATCAAGGGGAGTAGGTCGTCATCGTTTCTACCACGCGGTCAACGAGAAGCCAGGGAAATACAAAAGGTGTCGTAATTATATAGGAAGATATTGCGCGTACAAGGACATGATGAGATCGAGGTAACGCTTGCGGGTACCGGGTATCCTGGTCCTTAAGACCGAAGTGGGCGGATGGGAGTTGGTGCAAATTGGGTGCAAGGAGAACCATGGACGAGGGGGAGATGCTGAGCTCGCCCTTCTGACTGCGCGGGTACACCTGTAAATGTAAAGACAAGAGTTCATGATACAGCAGGGGGTATAAACCATGATAGAGTGGGGTGGGATGGGATATGAAGTGCGTCTTCTATGCCGATTTGAGATTTGAACTTATGGCTGTAAATAAATATTGAAGAGTGTTACATTGTTATATCAAAACAGACTCATCCAACATCTCGTCGAGCTTACACTCCTGGCGACATGCAAGCATCCACCTCGCACTTTGTGCCACGACGATCGAGCGCAGCCGCACAAGCGGTCAAGTCCACGACTCGTATCGCGTGAAATGTTCGTCTTGACAGAGGATGGAAGCTTGACGCTCTCGAAAACGTCGCGCTGGTGCTTCGGCCTGTAAGAGAATGGGTTACTGAGCATGTAATGGAAGCTTACCACAAGTCGGTCTCCTTCTCTCTTTCGGGAACCGATGCTGGATGAAAAAAAGACTATGCGCCATCTAAGTTGTGATCTTTCAGCGCGTAAGAAGAAATGTTCAGATTGACAAAACTTGCCTGATGATAGTGGGAACAGCTGAACACAAGATGATCGCCTGGTTAAAGCGAGGGAAACTGAATGAGTGTTGAGTGTTGAGAGATTCAGCTCGTAAGAACGTTCAGACACTCGCGCAAGAAAGATCTGCCTGATCACGCTAAACAAGTCTTATGAGATTCAGCGCGTAAGAAGGAATGTTCAACTGACAAAACTTGCCTGATAACAGCGAGAAAACAGCTGAACACGAGATGAATGCCCAGTTAAATTGAGGGAAGCTGAATGAGTGTTGAGAGATTCAGACTCGCGCAAGAAAGATTGGACTCCGCAGGATGAAAAAGACTTATGCGCGATCTATTAACAATCAGAAGGGCGCAAGAGGCATGTTCAGAATTTATGCAACCTTGCCTGATCACAGTTGGAAACAGCTGAACAAGCATTGTGTGGTCCAGCACACAGAAAGAATATTCAGGCTTCCACGAGAAAGATTAGCTGATCATAGCGAGGGGGAGAAGATGATAATTCAAGTGAAGATGATGGATGTCACGCACGTTGAAGATTGATCAAGCAGGCTTTCCTCTGATTCCGAATGTGAGAGATAAATGTAAATAAATTGCATCATACCGATAGAACAAGCGTACGAATTGCTAAAGAATATTCGTAAACGAGCAGGCCGACGCAGGGAAGTGGGGTATCATCACGCGAGCTCGATTCCATTGTCATCCAACTCTACGTAGAATTAGAAGTGGGAAATGGTGGAAGGGGCGGGGGCACCCACCGATGTTAATTACGAAGAAAGGTAGATCGCGTCTTGAGAGGGCGACAGTTCTCAAGCACCTCTGGACGCTGAAGAGTGACCAAAAGGACGAGGACCTCCCAGCCTGCTTCCATGCGGAGAAGGGTCTTTTTGGTGGCCACGGCGAGATCGACTGCAAGACGTGCATTAGCAACATATGAAATCATCACTTGAACCTCAGCCCCTTTGCAACAGACCCCTTCATTGGCGACTCAGGCTGCAGTGGGCGCAACGGCAAGGCTTTTGAGCGTTTTAAGGAATGAAGGGGTCCCACGATTAAGGAGGTATTGATCGAGGTTGTTGCGGAGGTCGGCGCTTTTTAATGTAGCGTAGATGAGGGTCAGGAAGGATGATAGACATAGGGAACGCGCTGAGGATGCATCGCAGAGAAATGGCATCGCAGAGACTAAAGTAGTATTTGTTAAGTAACTCTGGGAAATCATGAAGGACGAGGAGTCGGAGGGAGCCAAAGGGCAAATCTCACCTCACGGTTTTCGGATAGTAGGCATGAAGAGTTGATGTGAAATGAGGCAGAGAGAAATAAGCTAAGCCTAAATATTCTGCGGGGCTGCGGTCAGTGTCACATGAAGCACGTCTATGGAGTGACAACGCAGCTTCTGGAGCACATTAAGTTGTATTTTTGAAGCCGACGTGCGTCGCAAGAGATACGCAAAATATATGGGCTGGCAGTTTCTTTTGTTTTGCTTATGTATCCTAGTAGGAGAATGAAGTGGGCGACTGAACAATTAGGTTACATAAAGAAACACAATCACAAACCACATCAAGACTTATCTTAATCTCGCGGAACAGCATGGTGTTCGCCAATGATTCTATGCAGGCCAGACCCATTCGCACTGAATTGGAAAGGCTTCCAGTCGACACATACAACAATTGATGGGCAATGGGCGGGCAATGGGCGGGCAATGGGTGGGCAATGGGTGGGTGATTTATTTAATCTGTGGACAAAACTTAAAGTTTTGTCATCACATTTTGTCTGTGGTGTAAACTTTAAATTTCAAGAGGCGCTTAAATTGCGCACACAACTTGAAATATTAGCAACCATATGGTCATAGCCCAAACTACACTGAGAATTGTCACAAACGTTGTCATGACCCAAAAATAGGATTGTGACACATGCACATAGGGTTATGGTTGACGGAAGGATTTCCGGAAATGTTGCATAGACCATAAATTAAATATAACCTCGACACCGGCCTTCCTGGGTATTGCTGACAGCCGAGCCAACCTTTGCACAAGGTCTGCACAAGGGACGAGCAACCAAGGGAGCAAAATAATACCACAATGTTAGCGCGGTAACATGAGAGAAAGGTTAATATCAGGTCCCATCGACACTTCATCACCACCGCATGTATACCATGGTGACATTAAAACTCAACTATATATATCAGAACATAAACTTCCAGCAACGGTAAAAAATATGGGAGCAATCCATCATTATTATCACGGTGTATCTAAAGTATAGTAGGACATAACATAAGAATCACCAAATAAGTTTGCTATGAATTGTCTTTTGCCAGTCCACAGTCACGGAGTCGAGGGATGGAGCGAGGGACGTTGTACTCGGGTATTTTCGTACGTCAGCTTGGAGGACCTCTGTGAAAAATCTATACAAATCAATGATGAGATCAAATTAACGCACAAAATTCAAGAAGCAGTGAAACACACTGTTTAACGAATTCTTCAGCTGCCTGTGTCGTAGATGTATTCTTCTTAGCGTCGTCCCTGAGCTCACCCAAAAGAACATCAATATAGCTCCAGTATTGATTAAACGTCCAAGTGCACTGTGTGATTGTTGAAGGGCTGGAATCGGCCTCGTCACCTTCCATATCTGCTGGCACGTGTTCATGGTTGCTGTTCAAAGTGACTTCCTCTTGGGACTTTGCGCTCTCTGCAACGACAGTCCGGAATTGGATCAGTGAAGAACGCTAGATTAGAGTGAGTGGAAGACATGGCGGGGTTTGTGAATCAACTTGCCAGAAAGGCCACACGAGACCAGTGTGCTGAAGTAATCTCGGTGCAGTTACCTGATAACGACCGACAGAGCGCATGGATATTTGATCCTCTATCAGCGGAAGTAACGATCTGTGTTCAAAACGTTAAAAATATCATAGCAGCTCAGGAATCGACAAACCTTTTGTTTCATGCTTCCGCGCTGCTGCGTAAGCAGTTCCTTAATCATCGAGTCCAACTTATTCATAAGTTCGAGATCCTGCAGGGCGGCGAGGGGTATCTTGAATACAGAAGGGTGTTTCTTTACGAATTCCTGGAACATGTTAATCTTTATTTGTCAGATAAGAATAAAAAAACTCACAAAGAGGTTCTGAGACAAGTGCATCACATATCCTGAGAGATTCGGAGACAATAGGCAAGCGCGAAGCCTGTCGGTGAGTGATTGCTTGAAGCAATGTAAGAATAGTAAATATATGAGAGTCAGACCTGTACCTTGAATTCCGCCGAGCTAATGAGCTCACGAGCATCATCTCTCGCCTTTCGCTTGTCTAGGGCAATGAGATGCCCCATGATGTTTAGTAGCATCTCCTTTTTGGGTTTCTGCATGGATGGATGAATTTTAGTACGCTTATACTGTACATCCTGATGATTTAGACTTACTGTAGCAAATTCTTCTAGCGCATCATCAGGTAACCCATTGGTCCTGCAAACGTCTGTAGCGCAAGTCTTGAGCCGCTTGGTCTCAGCCTCTGACTCTGTAGATTCGATCCGTCGTCTGACCTCGCCTCGTGTGACTGACCGAAGTGGTGTTCGTGCCGCAAGTGGGGATGACGGCGGGCTAGATGTAGCAGCCCGGGGGAACAATGGTACAGGTGCTTGTTGGAGTCGGAATTGACTGAGGTAGCTCATACCCAGCACTGCGCGATGAACACACTGAACAGAGACGGTGTCAGAGTCAGCCCGAACGTGATGCGTTGCACGTGACCAAAAATCCATTGGCAATAAGTACAACTGATATTGGTAAATTTGAATCTGCGTAATCGTACTTGTTTAATTCAGATTCCTTGACACCATTCACCTTGTCTACTAGCCACTACAGGTCACAATTCTATGGCCACGAGAATTTGGAGGGCAGGCGGTGCCTGTAATTCGCCATATTTCCTGGACAGAATTGGTTTCAAATTTTGAGTCGCAGTCTGTCCCACAGCTCATGGTGAGTCTCGAATCGTGCGCAGCGCTGACACACATTGAACCTTACATTCATGCAGATACCCTTCTTGCCACTTCCGCCATCTTTCAATCCCTTGTCCGAGGCCAGTTGGTCTGTGCTCGCCAGACAGGTGGAAACTTGGCTGGTTGACACCATTTGGGACGTTAGAGCGCCTGAGTGGGCTTGGGGCTGTGACGCATTCTGGATGGCATTCATTGCCGCCAATCCAGACTTTCCTCGGGGGCCCTGGCCTAACTGGAACCCTAAGATCAGTTTGGAAGGGAAATTTATCAAGTCTTGGACGGCGGACAACCTGACTATACCAGCTGATAGCCCTCTCAGCCAGGACATCCTGGATGAGATTCGCACAAGTATATGGGATGATTTTCAGCTTATTTTTACCGTCCCTCCGTTTTTGTAGCGTGTTTCATCTAGTTATATTTGTTGTTTGTAAATTAGATCAATCAATGCTTGCCCTCGTTCTGCCCGATCATGCTGTGAAGCACCGGTGTTAGAGTAAATACAGAAATACAGTAATACGATAACACTATGACTGTATTGCAAACGCACAACATAGGTGTGAGGCCAACCAGACCTCAGCATTTGACCCTGTCGCAATGTTAGGCTATGATGGTTTGTAATATGTTAGTACATGATAGTGGACCGTCCCTGACACCATACTCGTCAGAGAGGATCCCAATATCTGCTTGACCTTTGCTACCAATATCCTTTTATGGTTTGCTTCATGCCGCCATTACTACATTGATGGAAATACTTTGGTAAATGTATATATTATGATAGTACTGGGGTTCGCCATCAGCAAACCCAGGGTCCTCTGTACAACCCTGGACAGTGCTGGACAGAGCCACAGAGCCCACAGAGAGGGTTCTCTCTGTGCAGCTCTGTACAGAGTCGTACAGTGTAATGTATGATACTGTACAGAGCTGCACAGAGCGGTACAGAGTGTTAGCTACACTGAGCAAAACAATACAGAGCATTGGGTAGGCCAGACAGGAATACTGCAGAATGCTCACAGCATCACTACAGAAAGTGCACAGTAATTGAAACCAAACAAATCATGATGTCATTGCGTCATACTACAATCAGGTATCCTACAAAAATGCTAAAAACACGATCAGTCCAGTTGGAGTTTCAAGCCCCAGTCATGGTGCCTGTTTGGATCATCGCGAGTCAGGATTCTGCATAGCCGTCAGAAAATGATACAAATGATAAAAAAGCTTCACAATACCCTGCAGTACGAGCCCATTTCTTTCTGGCGGCCCGGCATTTCTTTGCATGATAGTGGTCCTTCTGCACATCATGGTAGAGCTGAATGACGCTGTCGTAGATGGGTTGATATAAATCGGCGACGAATTTCATTTGCTTGTAAGTACCGGTCTTGTACTCGTCGATAGCGGCAGCAAGCTAGTTAGAGATGAATGAGCGAAGACGATTATCCGAGCCTGAGATCACATACCGCAGTCGCTGCAAGTGCAACGGCACCTTCGGGGACAGCATCGGCGAACAAGTCTGGAAATGACTTCGCGAGCGTGTTCTCACCCTTGTAAAAATAGGACATACAAAAGCTGCCCAGGGCCTTGTTTGCAAGATTATTGGTCCTGCCCTAATACACACCGCGTGAGTCAGTAAGTGCGGGGCTATTTCTCATTAACCTGCCTGTGCATCTACTCCATCCCGTAGGAAAGCACCATTCTGCAACAATGTTTTGACGTTGTCACGCACCTCCCGCTCATAGTCGTTCTCGTCGTCAACATCGGGTGGAAGAATTTCGTAATGTGCCAGAACAATCGGACGCGCAGCCTTTTTCATTTCGGAACGCATAGTAGCACGATCGTCCCATAGCTAAAATAATTGTTAGCGTGATCCGACAGAGTAAGAACACAAATACCAGGACTGCCATATCAGATTTATATTCATCCCAGTATCCGTCGTCAACACCAACACCCTGGGATCCAAAGTCTTCGA